GCCGTCTGAAACAGATGTCGCGCCAGCGTCGCTCCAAAGTCGAACTTATTCAGTTAGATTCGGCACATGAAAATTACGGCGTCTGAACCAGGCCTCAGTTTCGGGAATAGTTTATTTTAAACCATAAGAAAAGATTTAACTAAAAGCTGGAATTTTTCGCTAGTATTTCTCTTTCTCTTTTTACAAACAGTTCATTTTACCTGCCCAAAAGTAATGTATCGGTCAAATCGAAGCTTCAGCATCCCCCTCCCGGGTTACCCCCCGGGCATTTGACTTTTTCGAAAATTATTGTTCAAATTCCCCCCTACCCGGGCCTAAATGCTGTTCAAATGCCCCGCACTAAGGTCCATTCAGGTGATCAAATACCCCTACCCCGGGGACCTTTCACAGGGACATAAATGACAGAAGGACGGCAGAGACGCCTTCAGTTGTCGAACAAAATCTTTATAAATACAGCAAATAATTCGCATTCAAAAACTGAGAAACACTGCTAGCGTATTTACTACGAACAAAAGTCTCGTACAAAGCGGCGGAAATCGCTGCTACAAGGTCACTGAATGCTCAGCCTTTCTTCGTGTGTCATGCAACTCCCACCTATTGAGATTACTACATCATGACCATTTCACTGACATGCATCATCGCTCACCTTATCATGAATTGACATACATGCGGCAGGTTTCGCCGGTATAGGCATTGTATTTCATTCTAAACACAACTTATTACATTCATACATTCAAAGCCTGAATCCGATATTAAAAATATTAAAATTTAAATACCTTCAAACACGGCACAAAGCTTGTTTAAGCCCTCTCCTCGTAACCAATTGGTCACAAAGGTACAATCTTTTCCACGAAAATCCTCTAACACCGCCTCCCCCATGATAGCTCGCCACGCCAGAGATTTCACATGAAATCGAGGGTTCAGTTCAAATTCCCCACCCCCTGGAAGACTCTGATAATCAAATTCCCTCCTCCCCGGGACGGCAAAGGTGTCAAATGCCCGGGGTATGCCTGGGGAGGGGGGGGGCGGGGTGGCATGTTGAAGCTTCGATTTGACCGATACATAAGCCTTAGAAACCTTTTTTTTTTCTCTTAATATTCCCTTATGTTGATTAATTGAAAGTAGGGTAATGGGTTCATGATAACCGTCACGAATATAGAGATATTTAGTGACCACTTATGTAATATAGAGATATTTAGTGACCACTTATGTAATTGTTGTAGTTACTGTAGTTGGAATAGTTAGTGTAGTTAGCGTAGTTGCTGTAGTTGGTGTAGTAGCTGTAGTTAATGTAGTTAGTGTAGTTGGTGTAGTAGCTGTAGTTGGTGTAGTTGATGTAGGTGCTGTAGTTGGTGTAGTTAGTGTAGTTGCTGTAGTTGGTGTAGTAGCCGTAGTTAATGTAGCAGCTGTAGTTGGTGTAGTTGGTGTAGTTAATGTAGTTGATGTAGTTAGTGTAGTTGCTGTAGTTGGTGTAGTTGGTGTAGTTGCTGTAGTTGCTGTAGTTGCTGTAGTTGGTGTAGTTAATGTAGTTGGTGTAGTTGCTCTAGTTGGTGTAGTTGCTGTAGTTGCTGTAGTTGGTGTAGTAGCTGTAGTTACTGTAGTTGCTGTAGTTAGTGTAGTTGCTGTAGTTGGTGTAGTTAGTGTAGTTGCTGTAGTTGCTGTAGTTGGTGTAGTAGCTGTAGTTGGTGTAGCAGCTGTAGTTGGTGTAGGTGCTGTAGTTGCTGTAGTTGGTGTAGTTGGTGTAGTTGCTGTACTTGGTGTAGTTGCTGTAGTTGGTGTAGTTGGTGTAGTTGCTGTAGTTGCTGTAGTTAGTGTAGTTGGTGTAGTTGGTGTAGTTAGTGTAGTTGCTGTAGTTTGTGTAGTTGATGTAGTTAATGTAGTTGGTGTAGTTGCTGTAGTTGCTGTAGTTGCTGTAGTTGGTGTAGTTGCTGTAGTTGGTGTAGTTGCTGTAGTTGGTGTAGTTGCTGTAGTTGGTGTAGTTGCTGTAGTTGCTGTAGTTGCTGTAGTTGGTGTAGTTGCTGTAGTTGGTGTAGTTGGTGTAGTTGGTGTAGTTGGTGTAGTTGGTGTAGTTGGTGTAGTTGGTGTAGTTGGTGTAGTTGGTGTAGTTGGTGTAGTTGGTGTAGTTGGTGTAGTTGGTGTAGTTGGTGTAGTTGGTGTAGTTGGTGTAGTTGGTGTAGTTGGTGTAGTTGGTGTAGTTGGTGTAGTTGGTGTAGTTGGTGTAGTTGGTGTAGTTGGTGTAGTTGGTGTAGTTGGTGTAGTTGGTGTAGTTGGTGTAGTTGGTGTAGTTGGTGTAGTTGGTGTAGTTGGTGTAGTTGGTGTAGTTGGTGTAGTTGGTGTAGTTGGTGTAGTTGGTGTAGTTGGTGTAGTTGGTGTAGTTGGTGTAGTTGGTGTAGTTGGTGTAGTTGGTGTAGTTGGTGTAGTTGGTGTAGTTGGTGTAGTTGGTGTAGTTGGTGTAGTTGGTGTAGTTGGTGTAGTTGGTGTAGTTGGTGTAGTTGGTGTAGTTGGTGTAGTTGGTGTAGTTGGTGTAGTTGGTGTAGTTGGTGTAGTTGGTGTAGTTGGTGTAGTTGGTGTAGTTGGTGTAGTTGGTGTAGTTGGTGTAGTTGGTGTAGTTGGTGTAGTTGGTGTAGTTGGTGTAGTTGGTGTAGTTGGTGTAGTTGGTGTAGTTGGTGTAGTTGGTGTAGTTGGTGTAGTTGGTGTAGTTGGTGTAGTTGGTGTAGTTGCTGTAGTTGGTGTAGTTGGTGTAGTTGGTGTAGTTGGTGTAGTTGGTGTAGTTGGTGTAGTTGGTGTAGTTGGTGTAGTTGGTGTAGTTGGTGTAGTTGGTGTAGTTGGTGTAGTTGGTGTAGTTGGTGTAGTTGGTGTAGTTGGTGTAGTTGGTGTAGTTGGTGTAGTTGGTGTAGTTGGTGTAGTTGGTGTAGTTGGTGTAGTTGGTGTAGTTGGTGTAGTTGGTGTAGTTGGTGTAGTTGGTGTAGTTGGTGTAGTTGGTGTAGTTGGTGTAGTTGGTGTAGTTGGTGTAGTTGGTGTAGTTGGTGTAGTTGGTGTAGTTGGTGTAGTTGGTGTAGTTGGTGTAGTTGGTGTAGTTGGTGTAGTTGGTGTAGTTGGTGTAGTTGGTGTAGTTGGTGTAGTTGGTGTAGTTGGTGTAGTTGGTGTAGTTGCTGTAGTTGGTGTAGTTGGTGTAGTTGGTGTAGTTAGTGTAGTTGGTGTAGTTGGTGTAGTTGGTGTAGTTGCTGTAGTTGGTGTAGTTGCTGTAGTTGGTGTAGTTCGTGTAGTTGGTGTAGTTGGTGTAGTTGGAGTAGTTGTTGTAGTTAATGTAGTTGGTGTAGTTGTTGTAGTTACTGTAGTTGCTGTAGTTGCTGTAGTTGCTGTAGTTGGTGTAGTTGCTGTAGTTGGTGTAGTTGGTGTAGTTAATGTAGTTGGTGTAGTTAATGTAGTTGGTGTAGTTGGTGTAGTTAATGTAGTTGATGTAGTTGGTGTAGTTGCTGTAGTTGCTGTAGTTGGTGTAGTAGCTGTAGTTTCTGTAGTTGCTGTAGTTAGTGTAGTTGGTGTAGTTGGTGTAGTTGATGTAGTTGCTGTAGTTGCTGTAGTTGGTGTAGTAGCTGTAGTTGGTTAGCAGCTCTAGTTAGTGTAGTTGGTGTAGTAGCTGTAGTTGGTGTAGTTAGCGTAGTTGGTGTAGTTACTATAGTTGATGTAGTTGCTCTAGTTGGTGTAGTAGCTGTAGTTGCTGTAGGTAGTGTAGTTGGTGTAGTTGGTGTAGTTAGTGTAGTTGCTGTAGTTGGTGTAGTTAATGTAGTTGGTGTAGTTGGTGTAGTTGCTCTAGTTGGTGTAGTTGCTGTTGTTGGTGTAGTAGCTATAGTTGGTGTAGTTGCTGTAGTTAGTGCAGTTGGTGTTAGTTGCTGTAGTTGATGTAGTTGCCGTAGTTGCTGTAGTTGTTGTAGTAGCTGTAGATGCTGTAGTTGCTGTAGTTGCTGTAGTTGCTGTTGTTGCTGTAGTTGGTGTAGTTAGTGTAGTTGGTGTTGTTGCTGTAGTTGCTGTAGTTAGTGTAGTTGCTGTAGTTGGTGTAGTTGATGTAGTTAGTGTAGTTGCTGTAGTTGGTGTAGTTGGTGTAGTTAGTTTGGTAGCTGTAGTTGGTGTAGTTGGTGTAGTTGCTGTAGTTGGTGTAGTAGCTGTAGTTGGTGTAGTTGCTTTAGTGTAGTTGGTGTATTTGCTGTAGTTGGTGTAGTTAGTGTAGTTTGTGTAGTTGGTGTAGTAGCTGTAGTTTGTGTAATTTGTTTTGTAGCTGTAGTTGGTGTAGTTGCTGTAGTTGCTGTAGTTTGTGTAGTTAGTGTAGTTGGTGTAGGAAGTGTAGTTGGTGTAGTATAATTAGTAATTTTTTTTTTCTGCGGTATTTTCGCACATGTTTCATCACTCACAAACAATCATAAAAGCTAATTGTGATGGTCTGTACCTCGTGTAAGACTTTATATAATGTCCTAAGCCTATTAGGGACTGGATGGAATTGTGCTTATGGGGGGGGAGCGGGGGGGTGATCATTGATAGTCGGGGAGTAATGCAAAAGAAAGAGCCTCCAGAATTCAGATTTTCAGAGTTTGGCATCTCTGGTGTAGTTCGATGTAGTTTGGTGTAGTTTCGATGTAGTTACTTTTTTTTAGTTGGTATAGTTGTAGGAATACGATGACGAGATTGTAATGTACATTCAATCACTTTTTTCCCCCTTTTTTAAGTTTTTTTTTACGTTCTCGATGAAGAACGTAGTAGATTGACGACGGCAAACTAGTTTTCTCGCCAAAATTTCACTTGTTTATGTACTTAGTAATTGGGAGGATCTCGAAAACGTTCTGGTGATTCTTGAAACGTATTCTCTCTAACGGGTAGTTAATCTTATATAATGATGATATTTGATATAATATTATTGAAATTATATGATGTCTTCACCTTTATTTCCTTTCTCTTAATATTTATGTAATTACGCTACACAATGTCTGACTGCATCTAGCACTTGAAATTTACGTATTATCTTCATTTTAGCGCCGTTTTCCCTATTTCCCTAAAATCTATGGTCATTAAACCTCAAATAGTGACCTCACCGTAAATACTTTAAAGCATTGTCATTATGTGAAAGTTTTGGTGAATCGAGAGTGCGAATTAGTATTCGTCTATTTTTGCCCGCAAAAATAAAGAGCCCCTGGATCACATATATTAAATGA